TCGATTCGCACCACAACTCGTCAATCTGGACCTGACTTACGTACTGTTCAATGAAAACCCCGATTACTGTATCGCGTGGATTGAACGCCTAACCAAATTAAAAGCCCTCAAACTGTCCGCATCTCCAGAGCTCAGCGATTCATCACTCATTGGTGTCATTAAAAGTTGTCAACTCTTGGAGCACTTGGATGTCTCGCGATCCGAGAAACTATCGGTCGAGACGTTCAAAGCGTGCGTAGAGTCGGCACAAAATAATCCTCATAAGAAAATGACCGCTTATTTATCGCTCATGAATAGGGATCACATTCAACCAATTCATGACTCCATGTCCGACACGTTTCCGCAGAATCTAGTCGTTAAATACCGAAATGTAACCTTTGTTTGAGTATTACATATTAAATACTGTTTTAACTATTTTAATGTTTTCTATTTTATGAGATTTTAAAATTATACGCTTTTTGTCATTCAACTGATTTTAAAACTGAACTTTATTTTATAAATCAATTCTGTTGTTAAATATTCATATATATTTTCCAAATTTTAATTTTAAATTGAAATAAATTTCAATTACAAGATATTTTTATCATGTTGCTCTCATTTATATTGCATTTTAGCATAACTTTAAATCTAGTGCAAAACTCATTTAATCATAAGTTTAACTAAACTAAATATACTTGAAAAGTAATTCGGTTAATTATAAGTGCAGTCTTTTTGTCTGGTTTAAACAACTTTTATGTCTGCTTGGTCAATCTTAAAACATTAACTTAAATTAAGTGAAAAACAGTATTTAGCCCTGGGTCATAATCTAAACAGTTTAAACATTAATGAAATTTTTATTTGCTTTTAAAAGATGTGTTTTTTGTAAAGAAATCTTATTTTAAGTTCAATGTTTTGATAATTGAATGAATTTCTAAGAAAAACTTTTTAAAAACACTGATAACACTGATAGTCTTAACAAGGTATGGGATGCCAGTAAAGTCAAGTAATATACTGTACGTGAGCACAGAATACCTGTCCCTTTCGTATACTTACACTAAATTTTCAGTGCTATAAAAATATGTTTAGAATAATGATTGAACCAAAACAGACCAATAGTCCCGCACTTACATCACTGTATGAATGACACCTGTGCTCTATCTCCTCAACATCTCACTAGACATCCAGTAATTTATGTGAAAGTAAACGACGAGAGAGAGAGAGAGAGAGAGAGAGAGAGAGAGAGAGAGAGAGGTTAAAGTTAACTATACTATCGAATATACTGTAATGTTTTGAGACAAATTCACTTTTATAAATTACACATAAGTTAAACATAAAGTCTAATACAACTTTCGTTGCGTACAATACAATATAAGTTTGAAATTTACTAGTGATTGACAAACAGCCAAATTATTATCAATTTTCTTTTCAATTCTCTCGACTATTATGTGCTAAACTTGATCCTAAAACTAGTTTTGGATTTATTTTGAAAAAAAAGTTAGAAAAAGTTATAAAAACTTTAAAATTACTCATTATATTCTCGAGTCATTAGTTATATACAGAAAAATAATTGCATAACTAATATGAATAGCAAAAACAAAATTGAATTCAACGAAGCAGTTAACATTTATTATACCAAATGGGTTGATGTTTCACTATTTATAAAATATCGTATACATTACACCCGACACTATTAATAAAGGAAAGCCAGGTACTAGTAATATACACACTTTAAAACCGCTATTTGTAGAAATATTAAACTTAGGTTTATAAAAATAAAATTAATTTTCCCTTACTTGTTAGATAATATTATACTCTTAAAAAATTATTATTTCTCTTTTGAAATGTGAATGTCCTTGCACACTGCGACCTTTTAATATTTATTATTGCCAATAATTAATTGTATAAGTTGCTCACAATATTTAGTGTAATTTTAGATGCTTGTTTATTTTGCACTGTTATGATACATTACAAACTCTAGTATTTTAATTTTAAGATTAAATATTATATAAATAATTTCATACAATACATTCAATTCAATGTAAAAGTTATTTTAATATATTAATCCTTTAAATGTTCCCTTGAATTAAATCAAAAATAATAAATATTTATATTTCCTTCCGTTTTAATAATTATTAAGCCCTTAGAGTGAAAGAATTACAATTGACATTAGCAAATATAAGTAATACATCTATTTTAAAAGTTATTATTTAATAATTATATTTAGTCATTGAAACTAACAGCACAAATAAGTTCAAACGTAATCATATTATTATAAAGCCACAGTACAGTCTTATTTTAGGATAAAACTATTTTTCAATTGTTTATGATCAATCATTCAATATAGAGTAAACAAGTAATCAAAATATTTCTAAAATGTTATGCTATGTGATATCAACTACAGTGCTAAAATTACAATTAATATTTTAAGGTCAATTTTCATAGTAAAAATATAATGAGAGTATAAATATTTTTAAATAAATAAATATTTATTGAAAACTTATTTATTATTTTACGAACACCAGCGCCTAAAACGTGAAAAATGTTTAAATTAAAAATTTAACGCTTAAAACAATTAAGAAAAAGTTTTTACACATACAAATATTAATTGTCTTTACATTTAGGCAACAAGTTTGAAAACTTTTCTTTAATGAATTATGAATTTATGTTAATTATGCTAGCATCAAATACACTTTTATAACCTATACAATAGCAGTGAAAAACCTAATAATTTACAATTTGTTTTATTGTTTTGTAAATAATTTTAATTTTAAGTGTTTTGCACTTAAATTATAATAGCAATGAATATTTCTTCAAATTATTATAAGTCTGCAAAAAAGTAATAATTCTAAGAAATTGGGAAACTTAAAATACATGTATTCATACAAGTTTTTTATATAAACAAATATATTGTAAAATATTTTCTGATGTTTATTGAGCTTATGATTAAAATATTATAATAGACATCATGTAAAAAAATTAAATATAGAAATGTTTTGAGTCATAAATAAGTGACATATTTATGTATTACACGCGAAAGATGCTGAATGTAATGAACTAATAATTTATTTAATAAATATTTTACATGAAAAATAATTTAAGGATACGATTGGGCTATAAATATAAGCCAAGAAAGAGAGAGACGGATCATAAACAGGAAAAACTGTGGATATTATACCTCAAAAAACAGGTAAAGTTATTAGCATTGCGCTCGCTTTGCATTTCAAATAGTTTTTTAACTCTTAACTTCAAGACTAAATCAAATGAATGTAAATTATTTGCCGTTTGAAAAACACTTTTTGTCAATTCAGCTGAAGGCTACAAACATTGGCAACATTCAGGTGCTCTCAGGTGCTGATCAAAGACAGATTAACTCCAGTTGCAAAGGAGTCTCTCTCTATCTCTCTCTTGAAAGGCAAATATGAAGAGAGAAGTTATGCTAATATAACAGTCAAACCAATACTATTTGTAAACATTATTGAGATCTCTATTGAGAAGACCTTTTTGTTTCTCCACATTCAATCTGACACTAAATAACATTATTTGGTTTTAGTGTTTGGTTTGGTTTTAATTTTTATTTTATTGCAAAATACTCTGTCTTTCATTATAAAGCAAAACCTGTTGAGAGTCAAGAAAAAAAGGTTTTTGTGATTTACAACACAATTGGAAGTTTGTATAAGGATTTTACACTTTATTTTCCAAGTGTTTCATATACTCAACGCAGATCTTTATAAAAAAAACTTTTGGCTTAAGTTTTTTTATAAAGATCTTTAAAAGTGTTCAACTAATGTGTGAAATAATGTAAGTATTAAACGAATTGTTAGTTTTAATTAATTCTCTCCCATTATAACCATAACTAAAACCCATTGGAAGTTCTAATTACTATATAAGGCATGCCTTATGAGAGCGTATGTGCTGTCACTGTATTGTAAGCAGACTTTTAGCGTTAATTATAAGCAATCGCTAAATAGACCAAAGAAGCGGTCCATTTATTTTTTGCGTGGATATTAAGGATATAACACTAATTGATGTATTGTTTGCCTTTATCTTTATATGTCTTCTATTAATAAAATGTCTTTTCATTCGTAACCATTGATGTGAAGTAAAGGGCCGACCAGTCAAAGACCGGAAAGTGAATTTTGGCCCAAATTTATTGACTCTTAGATATGAAGTAATCGTCATATTTCTTATAATTTTTGTGTCAAATTTTTATTTTCATGTCATAATGTGTTAGCGTAAATTCAATCAAATCTTCACGCTATCAAAGCCTCTGTGAGTGCCAGACATTAGTATAGAGAGAAATGTAGTCATGAATATCGATTCAACCCGTGCTCTCACATTACAGGATCTGACACCAGAATTTCCGTTCAGTTATTGAATAAAAAATAACACTAACTTTCTCTCCGCTATATATACTGTACTTATATTGTATAACATCTGATGAACTGAACGCTTATATATATACAGTATTTAACGAGAAGAATATATTTTTGGATAATTTAAAAATAAATGAGAAAACAATCTGATGTCTAAAAGGTTAGTGGAGATGTTTATTGTTGTACTCATTACGAGAGACGACTTTTATTGAAAATGTAGTCAAACATCATGTTTAATATATTTGCGAATACATGCGGCAAAAGTGAATAAATATTTACGGAATACTATTATTAATAAGATATCCTTGAGTTTGACAAATACAGTGATCACTCACATCGACATCAATTTATTCATTATAATTGTAATCTTATTGCCAGTGATGTCATTGATATGATGTGTATATGAAAAGTGAATTTTTCTTATCGTGAAAAACTTTAACGCAATTTTAAAAGCAAATCTGTATATACTTTCTCTACGAAATGTTTATAGAAATGCATTTGTGCTAGTTTTAAGCGTGAAAAATTATTTAAATATTTGTTTTGCTACTAAAAATAATTTTTCTTAATTAATTAATAAATATTTGTTTTATAGAGAAAACGGCAGTAGTTTTGTGTTGAATGCAATGCATTTGTGATCCAATTTTTGCGTGCATACTATAATTGGTTCAATCGTTTCCATACATAACTGTAATAAGTGATGAAAATTGGCAGAAAAGTGTGAATAAAAAAGTTTTTGTCATCTCATCCCCCGATGGATGTGTTGGATGTGCGGACACCACTGTAACCATGTATTTGACATCAGTCTGGCGGTCGCTAAAGGGCCGCTCGCTCTTCATATTGGTGTCGTTGAGTTGGCTCTTATTGATTGCCTTTCTCTTCGCTGTCACCACAGTCTTCGAGAGAGTGCCTGAAGAGTCCAATGCATTGCAGGCGGACAACAGATACACAAAACTCAATGACCGGCTCAATGAGGCCAACCGTCAGATTGATCTTCTGATGGCACAGAATAAACAATTGGCTCAACACTTGCAGGTATTGACCGAACTTAAGGTCAAACGCGAAGAGCTGTCACTCGAGAGTCCGAAGACTAATAAGAAGTTAAAAGTGCGAAACAGATCGCCAGTGAATGTGTTTCCGTCGACTGAGTTTGAGTTATCTTTTCGACGCGTCCGACAGAATATCGACGAGATTTGGCACCACTTGAGGAATAGGATGAGCAAGAAGTCCATGAGTTTTGTGAACGAATTGCGATATAATATGATCTATGATTTGGATGTTTTGAGTGATAGAGACAATCGATGGCGTTATGAAGAGCTCAAGAATTTAAGTAATTTCGTCCAGAATCGGATTCATAGGCTACAGAATCCGAGTGATTGCGGAACCGCCAAGAAGTTGGTTTGTGATCTAAACAAATCCTGTGGGTTCGGGTGTCAGGTCCACCATTTGGCCCATTGTTTTGTGGCCGCTATGGCTCTCAACAGAACTTTGATCTGCGATACCGACGACTGGAGGACCCCCAGTGATCAGCCTAACTCCTGGGGCCGACTCTTTCAGCCAATTAGTCAGACGTGTGGTGACCCGAGTGGTCATAACCGCACCGATTGGAGTGATGATAAACTCTTAAACTCGTATCAAGTGCTGTATTATCCCATAATAGACTACATGCAACCCATTCCCCCGTTCCTACCACTCGTCATACCCACACAAATAGCCGATCCACTCGTCAGACAAAGCGGTGAACCATTCATTTGGTTCATCGGACAAGTGCTCAAATACATGATGCGTCCGTCCAGTGATATGAGTCAATACATCGACAACTTTAAGCGAGACAATCAATTCAAGCACCCGATCGTCGGCATACATGTGCGGAGAACCGACAAAATCGGAACCGAAGCCAAGTTCCACACAATCCATGAATACATGTTTTTTGTCGAAGACTTTTACAACAAACTCGATCTGAAGAACGAGAGGAACTCTGTCCACAAAAAGGTCGAACGACTCGTCTATTTAGCCACCGATGAGCCGGAAGTGTGGCGAAAGGAGATCACACCCTATCAGGAGAAGGGATACGTGTTTAAGGGCGACATTAAGCTGTCGGAGAGCGCCGACCCCTACCAGCGCCGGGAGTTTGAATCGCTGCACAACGTTGTCGTCGATTTGCTGCTTCTAAGTCAATGCGATTACATTGTCTGCACATTCAGTTCACAGATCTGTCGCCTGGCCTTCGAGTTGATGCAAACCAGACACTCGACCCAAGACTTGTCACAAGCCTTCTACTCACTCGACGACATCTACTATTTCGGCGGTCAGGTATGTGTCCATTACTGTACAGTACATCCTATGCCATCACTTCATAGACTTCTCTCTCATTCGTATGAATTGCCATTATTTTGATGGACAGGTATTTCACGGCAAGAAAGCACTGGTGAGTCATTCCGCACAAAATGATCGCGAAATCAGTTTCAAATCGGGAGATATACTGGGAATCGCTCGCAATGAGCACAACGGCTACAACACCGGAGACCACAACCGCACCAAACATAAGGGTCTTTACCCGCGATTCAAAGTCACAGAATTTGTCGAATCGGTTCCATTCGATGTCTTCGACTAGTATTCAGTCTATTCATTAAGTGAAGCATTTCTAGTGATGTTTTCAAATTAAATGCTATTTATAAATACAGTATATATTTGCGAACACTAATAGATTATAAATAATTTATTTGAATTGAATTTTACGGAATATTTTTATATGTTTTTAAAACTTTTAATTTATAAATTCATTAATAGGCGAATAAATTACCATTATTACCACATTTGCTTAAATTAATTACAAAAAATTTGTACAATTGGAAAAACCGGAATATCATCACATAATAGTTGCTTAAATTATAATTACTGTACAATCAAATGTGTATTAAGTTAACTAGATCATAATTTATCGCTTAGTCTTCGCGATTTGTTTAATGAAATATATTTTCTCCATTTTAAAGAGTATTGGAATTAGTTCTTGGGTTTTACAGCGAAGCAAAACACAACTTAATTGTATGAGTAGTTTGAACGACGAGGACCACCGTTTGGGATCTCTGGCCAAACAGTCGTACCCCCTGTGGAATACCTTGCCGTGAGGGCACGTCCAACCAATCAGTCGTTTGTGTTGAAAGCTAGTGGACAACACTTCACTCACTGACGAACACTTATTCAGATTTAATGCCAATTCTGTTGCAGTGGTTAATGGATATAAGGAGTGCTTCACGAACTCAGGTGAACCCGAATCCGTCATATCGTAGAGAAGGGCTGTAAACTCGTGCTGCATATCAGTCCGAAAGTCAAACTCTTTCCAATCATCTATAGATACGTACAAACAAATTAGATATTCAGTTAACATTACAAACTTAATAAACATCAATATAATAGTTACTCTTCTTTTTGATGCACTCAATCATTCTCGACATCTCATACTCCGAGCGCTTCAGTGAGTACTCGGCTATAAGACGCTGGTCTCGAATTCGTTCAGAATCTCTAATAAAGAGTCAATAATTAAAGTTAATTTTGAAATAAATACTCCGTTTCTGTGAATGTGTTCAGTGTATACCCGGTATAGAGTGAGCACGTGTATGAGTAGATCATGTCGAGCCTAACGCGCGAATACTGTTCCCATTCACTCCAACTAAAGAAGTCTTTGAGATCGCAATCAGACAAACGTTTTTCGGTTGAATCGTTGAGAATGAAAATCTTTTTGAGGACCAAAACGATGGCCATTAGCGCCCACCTCTCATAGTATGGAAAGGTAGAGATTTTGCGACAATTCATTGCCGTTCGCTCTAAACTCTCGGAGAAGTGTTCGTAGAGATTGTAATCGTCTTCAATGATGG